ATTCTCTCTCTCCTCCTCCTGATCTCTTTTTCCTTGCCTCTCATTTGTACTCATACCCTGGGATTCAAACCAGACCTCAGGAAAGGATTCATCCTGGAGTTCAGGTCCAGTAATTCCAATATTTCTGTACAATCAACGGCTCGGTGTCACCGAATCCTCCCGCTGGGCTGAGATTCTCTGATGTCACCTCCACTCTGCCCTCTGCCCATACATCTTTACCGTGTGGCTCCCACCGTCAGGGGACATCCTGACCTAGGACAAATCTCCCACCTGTTTTCGGTTTTTGAATCTCAGATGCAGCACGCTGGCAAGGAAATCTAATACCGCGTCCCCAGCAAGCCTCCCGTCCTCTCGGGCAGACACTGGGGTCCGCTTGGCTGGGTCTGCGAGTCACACGCAGGGCAGACGGACTAGATCAGAAAGTAGTAAAATCTATGAAAGATTTAAGCAGGACCCCGACAGTTTACATCCTTAATATTCATGCCCCGTCCCCGTCCTGAAGTGACATTTAAATTGTGTCTGGGGAATTTGTTGTGAGCTTACTGCTGTGGCCTGCTTAGAGAGAGAGAGAGAGAGAGAGAAATATCCAGACCTGTTTTCCATTTCAGAGATTCACGAGGTGACAAATGAAACCCACTCCTGCTCTCAGCCGCACCGTGCCCCTGGGAAGGGAACATTGTCGGAGCCGGTGAATGAGGGTTCGGTTTCGGCCAAAGCTCTGGGGGTGAGATCAAGGCTTCAGGGACTCTGAGGCCCCTCACAGGGCTTCCCGGCCTCAGAGCTCTGGGCGCGGGGCCACATTATCTTTGGGGGGAGGGAGGGTCCAGGGTCCTGTAGGCTGTTGGGTGGCCTCTCTGCTCTCCACCCACCACATTCCAGTAGCACCCTTTCCCCAGTTGTGACCACCAAAAAAATGTCCCCAACCACAGCCAAACGCCCTCTAGGTTCAGGAAGACAGGGGCACAGGGTCCTTCTGCTGAGAACCAGTATCTCAAAGTCCAAAAAGTCTCGCCCTCCTTTGTTCTAATCCCAGTGCGTCCCTATTTTCTTTTGGAGGTCACATCAAAGTCGAACCTGCATGCAGAGAAGTGCAGGGACCCCAAGCCTGCAGTTCAGGGGACACAGCTGTGTCACCAGAACCCACACCAGGGGACAGAAGGACACCGCTCCTCAGAAGCCCACCTGAGCCTCCTCCTGCACTACTCCCACCCACCCACAGGGGGCGACCACCCTCCAGCCCCCGGAGCCCCGTGGATAACAAGTTTCCTGATCATCTACTTAGTGCCAGGCACTATTTTGTTTTTCCAACATTGGGGAATGATACAGAGTCCTGAGCTCAGGGGGCTTCTACTCTAGGCAGACAGGCAGTGGGCAGGTAAGCCCACCAAGCCACCAGGACGCTCCGGAGGGGTGAAGGCACAGTAGGGTGGCCTTGCAAGGTAAAGTCGTGAGGATGACCGCGAGGCCCCGGGTTGGTCCCAGGAGCTCATGTTGAGCGACAGCAGGAACGATCGAAGGAGCGAGGTGAGAAGAGCAGGGAGGAAAGTGTCCCCAGGAGAGGAGACCCCAGGAAAAAGAGCCAGGGGACCACCATGACTGGACCAGGATGCGCAAGGTAGGGAGCAGCGGGGACACTGGCCATGTGGGTGGGGTCCGTGCTGCCCTCCAGGGCACAGCCAGCAGATCAGCTTTTCCCCCAAGCCCAACGGAGAGATGGCAGGGGCCGAGTCTGGGGTGGGAGCCGCTAGTGCTGGCCCTGCTCAGGGATGACCGACGGGCCAGGCCGCAGGCAGCTGAACATCAAGATGACCTTCGGCCATCGCCCCAGCCTGCCCTCCTTGCTCATCCTTCGCCTTCACTCCTGACCCTCAGAACTTCACTCAGGGCGGACGCAGTGGAGCTCTCCTGGAATCCCAGCGGCTGCGGAGGCTGAGGCAGGAGGATCGTGAGTTCAAGTCAGCCTCAGCATCAGGGAGGCCCTAAGCCACTCAGTGAGACCTTGTCTTTAAACAAATTCAAAACAGGGCTGGGGACGTGGCTCGGTGGTCGAGTGCCCCCGAGTTCAGTCCCTGGTACCAAAAATAAACTTGACTCTTGCGGTGTCCCACGGGCTGGGCCGGTGGCAGGGGAATCTGGTACCATAGCGGATGCCGGTCGTTTTAGAATCCAACTGCTTTACGTCTCGGAGGCAGTGCGCGGTTCTGTTTCCCTATCAAAGGGAAGAGCCTCACGGAGGCGGGAGTCACCATTCCTCGCACATTGACTGTATTCCCCGAGACCCTATTTATGTGGATGATTGCAGGGAGAAGAATTGGAAATGGTGATGGGCAGTATCGTGCCTCCGCCCATGGTGTTTTGTGGATTCCAGGTGGGCCCACGGTCAGCCACTGGACGCGCTGTGCTGCACAGAGGGGCCGGGGACCCCTCCTGAGTCCAATTCTCACTCTAAGGGACATGGGGACTTTGCCAAGCTCACCAAGCAGTAGAATGGAGTGGCCGAGGGGGCGACAGGGGGTGGCTGTCAATCATGATGATTGGCGTGGCGTGGGCTGGAGGGGGGGCGGGGTGGTCCTGACGGCCCACACACCATCACAGGCAGGTGGAGGGGCGGGAGTCCCCAGTGCCTGGCCTCGGGGACACTGCTGGACCTTCCTTGCTTATCAGTCTGCAGCCACAGGTCAGCCTGCCCCCTGCAACCGAGGAGCAGGGACAGAAGGGACAATGTGGGGAAGCAGCAGCATTTCTGCAAGCGTGATCCCCCGGGCCACCAGCATCAGCCGCCAAAGAACGTGCTAGAGGGGAAATGACCCTCGCGTCCCTCCTCAGACACTGAAGCAAAAACCCTGGTGATCTTCTGGTTCCCATTACGATAATTATGACAGTGAAATCGCTTTCTCGTGAAGGGTGGATTGAAATAATAAATGAAATTTGTTTGGCATTAATACATTTGCAGGCAATAAGCTAGGCACTTTTTAAAAAAAAAAAAAGTTATTTGTTAGAATAAGATGGAGTACATCTTATTCTAGTTAGGATCCCAGTCTGTGGTTGTAGGTGATGTGGGGATTCATTGTGATGTACTCGTACATAAGCAGAGGTCAGTTATGTCCGATTCACCTACTGGCTTTCCTATCCCCCCCCCCCTTCCCTTCATTCCCCTTTGTCTAATCCACAGAACTTCGATTCTTCCCCTCCCACTCCTCCTTGTTGTGTGTTAGTATCCACATATTACAGAGAACATTCAACCTTTGTTTTGGGGGGCATTAGCTTATTTCACTTAGCATGATAGTCTCCAAATGCATCCATTGGCAAAAGTCATAGTCATTTTTTATGACTGAGTAATATTCCATTATGTATATATACCACGGTTTCTTTATCCACTCATTCATTGAAGGGCACCTAGGTTGGTTCCATAGCTTAGCTGTTGTGAATGGAGCTGTGATAAACATTGATGTGGCTGCATCAGTGTGGTGTCCTGATTTTAAGTCCTTTGGATAAATATTGAGGAGTGGTGTAACCAGGTAAAATGGTGGTTCCATTCCAAATTTTCTGAGACATCTCCATCCTGCTTTCCAGAGTACCTGCCCCAATTTGCAGTCCCACCAGCAATGTATGAGTGTGCCTTTCCCCCCACATCCTCGCCAACATTTATTGTTACTTGTATTCTTGATAATTGCCATTCTGACTGGAGTGAAATGGAATCTCAGTGTACTTTTAATTTGCATTTCTCTAATTTCTAGAGATGTTGAACATTTTTTTCATGTATTTGTTGACCATTTGTATTTCTTCTTCTGTAAAGTACCTGTTCAGTTCCTTTGCCCGTTTACTGACTATTTTTGGTTTTTGTTTGTTTTTGGTTTGGAGTTTTTTGTTTTGTTTTGGTTTTTTGAGTTCTTTGTATATCCTGGAAATTAAATAAGCTAGACTTTTTTATTTATTTTTTAGGTTTTTTTTTTTAGTGGACACAATATCTTTATTTATATGTGGTGCTGAGGATTGAACCCAGTGCCTCACACATGCTAGGTGAGTGCTCTACCACTGAGCCACAACCTCAGCCCCAAGCTAGACATTTTTTTACATGTATGATTTTAGCTAATTTTGATAATTGACTCTAAGGTCGATTTTATTACTATTCCCAATTTACAGATGATGAAACTGAGTCTCCTGTGAATCCAAATTTGCTCAAGTTCATATAAGCAATAAGGGCCAATTTAGCACTCAAACAAAGGTAAGCAGCAGCCCTGAAAACCAAAATTAGTCTTTGAAACTTCAGTTTTAGTCTTTCCAAAAGAGTAAAGAGAAAATTGCTGTTACCAAAAATATAAATGATGTAATCAAGGGTTTTGTGGATTTTGAAAAAGTTTTTAAATAGCATTCTGTGTTTGATAACCAAGAGTATGTCTTCACCAACCAGCAATGGAGAAGAGCATCTTCAATCGACGTGTATCAACCGTGGCATTCAGGCCACCCCATCCCGGAATAATGAAGAAAGCCACTACATTTTTCATTAAAGGAGAGGGATAATTTATCTCAAGAAAAGGATATTTCCACTTACTAATACATGGATAAAGTGAGAAAATTCATCCTCTGGAGCATAAAAAAAATAGTTGGCATTCAAATCATGAGAGGAAAATGGCTGAAGTCAACTACATTGGTAAACTTCAGTTCTTATTCTTGATCAAATTCAT